ACCCATAAACAGATAAAACATTGTTAAGAACATGAACTACAGAAAGAAATGCTCTGAGTCCTGTGAAAGGGGCCGGGGTCAAGGCACAGAATGCTTCTGATTCCTTGTTTTTGTTGGAACTCTTACATCCTGGTGTTCTTACTGGAGACAAAATGACAGGTCTTTTTCTGAAGTCTCCTTCATTCCCCACTGCAGACCCACACTGCAGCATTCATGTGCTTCTCATCCCCATCTGAAACAGAAGGCACTCGGACTACTCTTCTGTGAAATTGTTTGAAAAATCTATTTAGAACATGCAAATCCAGTTGCTTGGAAAGACCTGCTTGAATAGGCAATCTTTCCTTGGGGGCAACAATTACACTTGTGAAGTGGAACTTGTGAAGTGAATCAGGTAGAAATTCATCATCAGTACCTCATACATTTACTGCTGTGCGTTCATGCAACAAACACACATGAAATCCTGTGAGAGCAGTCTGATCACTGTTTTCCCACTTCCCATCGTGACATCGGCGTTTGTGGCTAAGGAAGCAGATGACACAGGTGAGATAACATCCAGTGCTAGGCCTCGCATCAGCAGCCAGCTTTGTCATGTAAGACTTTCCAGGCTAATCCCTGGGGGCTGGGAAATCTAACTCTTGTGACTGGACACTCCACAGACAAATGGATTTCCTGCCGTACAGATGTGAGATGCCATATCAAATGAGATCCAGCATCCATACAAAGCTGTGTTCCTCTTTGTCTTCAGAAAATACTCTCATTCAAACATACAAAAAATGTAAAGCTTTAGAAAAAGAAACAAAGGAATCATTTACAGCGTCTCCTCAGGCAAATAATCATGAATATGGTGGGGACCATCATAAATAAAAGTAAGGCTTGTAATGAAGAGTTCAAGATGCTATGGCCTTTTGCTTCAGGGCTTTAGTAGGTCAGCAGAGGACTTTTTTTCTTATAGAGCAAGTTCTCATGAACAAAGTGTACACGACACACCGCAGGAAAAATCAACAGTGAATGACAGGGCTGGTGGGAGCGGGTAGGGGTGGCAAAGGAGTTTCCAGAAGATCAATCTGGTTTTCATTTTCTATAAGCTGAACGGGCCAAAGCAGCTCAAATTAAAGAGTAGAAAACATGCTCAGATTATGTCTGAACTGCTTGGTAACCAGACAAAATACGAAACAAAACAAAAGCTATAGCACTGCAGTAAAAGATTGCTTGCAGAGTTCAGTAAAAAAGTCCATTCAGCAAGTTATGTATGCTCACAGGAATCTGTGAAACTGTGTTCCCAAATAAGCTTTATAGACACATAAAAACCTCCCAGATACTCGGGAGAGATTTGAATAATGAAATCCACATGCAGCTTAGGTGCTCAAAAATGCTTTCTTTTGTTTTGGGAGTACCAAAAACAGGAGAAGAAGAAACTGGAAAGCAATCTCAAGCAAGTTCTGCTGGTCATTTCCCAGCAAACAAATTTTGATCTTTAAAAAGCCAACAAAAACCACAGATACTTGTAAACTGGCTTTGCAAGAGAGAGCTGTTTGTGCTTGGATTTCCAGCTGCATGACCCTACTGTTTCATCCAGACACTTCTGATGTTCCATATGATGGAAACCTATTGTACAAACATACAGAGAAGGAAACAGTCCAGATGGGAAAGCTAAAACCTGCTAATATTTGGGATCATCACTAGCAAGCTGAAACTCTGTGGAAGTCAGGCCATTTCTTCACTCAGTGCAGGCAAGGAGGCTTGTGCAGAAGACTTGAGTAGTGATCTTTACAAAACTAACAAAGCAAAAAAAATCCCTTCCCTCTTTGATGCAAAAACTTAGAGTAAAAAAGATATTTTTAATTAAGTTTCTGAATGAGCCATTGCTACCACTAGGACCGGCCGTTCCGAGCTCTGTTATGGTCCAAACACACACTCTGTTTTGGATGGTATGCAAACAGCAGTGCCTTTCTCCACCTCACTGGTTCAGGATTAGTCTCCTCTTGTGAGCTCTGTGAAGGGAAATTTCCAAGAGCCCTTGTTTGCCAGGATCTCAGAAGCAGGATGCTTGTAAATTTTACTTTACTGCCTACTCATAAGGGGAGACCGTGAGGGCACAGCAGGGAGGGTGTAGGAGAACACAGGGAAAAATATCACAAATACTGCAGCCAGAGGGAAAACTGAGCACTGGGTTTGTTGTTATAGGGTCCCAACCAGGGAGCAGTTTATTTTTCCAAACAAATCTGCTTCGCAGACATCCTTTCTTCTTCCCCATTCAAGTTTCAACCAGGAAACCTGGAATAAGTTACGGTTGATTTTAGAAGCAAATCAAAGCATTCAGCCTACTGAGCTCGCATTTAAAGTTAGCCTTTATGAGGAACTCCTTGGGGCCCTTGTATTCAAACTGTGAAGTCTGAGATTCACCTGAAATGCCCACACATACGGATCTGTAATGAGGCAGGAAGACAAGGAAACGGGCAGATTGGTCTTCAAGCCTCAGTTCTAACAGTAGAGGCTCCATATTTCAAATCAAAATTAGAAAAAAAAAAAACAAAACAACAACAATAAAACAAAACTTTAATAAAACCATAAACAGTTGTTCCAGACATGTACTACTAACTACCCAAGACCAGGACAGAGCTGGATTTAAGCAGAATGAATGGGTGTCCAGCAGGCACACCACTTTGGAAAGGCTGAGCAATTGTCTTCCTTGGATTTGGATTAGATTGGAATTTCAGAGGCATTTTATCCCAGATCTCTTGTATTCAGGAAGCTTTCCTTATTGGCATCCTGACATTCAGCCCTTGTTAGTAGTCCTGCTACCACTTACCAGAATCATGAAACAGAAGCACAATGGAAATGGATTAGTAAGAAGGCCAGTGAAATTCCACAAGTCCCTTCTTCAGGCCTGACAGTAGTTCTGACTGGAGGCTCTTACCAGCCCATTTTGTTGAGGTAGTTTGATGTTACAACCTGGCTGCCAGTATAAAGAAATGAGAATAAAATAGTGGATGAAACTGAGATAGCACAGCAGGTTATGGCTTGCATGTGGCAAATTTGCTTTTGTTTTACCCACTTTGAACACCACCCACCCCTGCTTATACCGAAGCGTAATGGTGCTGTCTGTATTCCCCCAGGACCAAGAATTTCATATAATTTAATAGTTTCTGTAATTAGATATTTGTGAAACTGAAATGCTGTGATGAAAGGTGCTGTAAAACTATTACCAACTTTTTCGCCATGAAAGGACTCCTCCCAGCCTGAAATACAGATGTTGTCCTCAGTGCACATCATTACTAATCCAAATCAGCAGTACTTATGGCCTGATTTAAATCCTCCTGAAGTCCAAGATGAGTTCTGTGGGTCTGAGTAGGGCCTCAGGAATTTTCAAATGGAAATTAAGTCAAATTAACCTTTTCTTCTCTCAAAATTAAGACCTCCTTTTCCTTGGTAATGACAGGAGAAAGACTGTTTGAAGTGAAGTATAACACCAAGTGCTGCCGAGAGCTGTGTGAGGAATTACCATATCCTTACATCAAGTCCAAGGACTTCTCTTGGCTGCTGGATAATCGTTCCACGTATTAACACAGGAGTCTGTAGTGCCCCATCCCACCCCGCCCTCCTCCTGCCATGGGTTTCTACAAGAGGATTCTATTTTACATTTAGTATTCCTCGTTCCCAAGGAATGACCTAAAACGTCTTAAACACAGCTGATACAGTCATCTACGTCTAGCCATCAGGCTGGTTATGGATTGTTTAATATTGATGGACCTGAAATACCAGCACAGATATCTAAACTGACCCAGTAATAACAACGTGATGGGAGGGCAGAGCTGCTGTGCCAGACGTGCCATTTCTCTAGCTCTGCTGCTGCTGAGTAGCAGCTCTGGTACCAAACACACCATGCATTCTTTAAGAAGAGGAAGTAGGAAGAACATTCCACCATCATTCCTGTACTCAAAGAAGCAAATGAAGAAGGAGAGTAATTGTTTGCTGGTTACTGCAGGAAAGATTGTTTGCTGGGTCTTTTTAAACCAGTACAACAGGCTTGTTTGCTTCAAGCTACTTAGATATTAAAGAAACAAAAATGATTTAGCTTTTTCATCTCAGGGATTGCCAGTATCTCTAGAGCAGCAGCACTCTTTCACCTTCTTCAGCACAAATGTTACCCACACCCCGCCAGAAGTCCTCTGCCACTGGCTTCCTTCTCTTACCTCGATGGCATCCCCCATCGCCAGCCCCAGCAAACAAGAGAACCGTGGTTCAGCCACACAAAGAGAGAGCCCCACGTGCTGTGCTGGACTCGAGGCCAGCCTCATCCATCTTCTCTTCTCTCAGTTTCTTCAGTGTTTCAGTAATTAGGATATTCAGGACTGAAACATTGCGGACATTATTGCTGCTTAGCGTGAAGTTAACAAGAGAGCCAGATTTACAACATTCTGGCCAGACAGAGAATTAAAAAAAGTTACGAATGATTGCCCAGTTGCAGGGATACATACTCCAGGATCTTATTTTGCCAGAAACTCCACATGAACTTTAGCCTCCAGGAGAAATCCGCCTGCATTTTTCTAACTGACATACCAGTCAGACCAGTGGCAGGACGCAAATGAACACACATGAAAAATTAAGGTTCAGTGACCCAAATCAATTATGTGTTAAGGGCACTGCTCTGGACTCAGTAGGAAATAGTTGAAACAGGAAAAAAGAACTAAATGGAATCATTCATTGAACTGACCTGGAAATAAGACAGAAATTTGGTAAATAAGTTCAGCGCAAGCCAGTTTCATGTAGTGATGGCAGTGGATTAAAAAAGAAAATTTAAATGGGGGCAGGGGAGAAAGAAACAAATTTCTTAGACTTGAGTAATGTTTCAGACTTCTATGAACAGTGCAGTAAAACAAAGCAATTCTCACAGCTTCCTTGTGCACAGGTGATGTAATGCAATTTACTTCCAGATATAAAGTTATATTTAAAAAAAAGCAGTTTATAGAAATCCTGAAACTGTATCTTTATCAAAACAGGACAACCTACAGCTCTTCTGTATCAAACAAAAGCAATCATGTAAAGCAAGAATATCTTCTGAGGATGAGGACCAGGTACTGCAGCTGTGGATTTTTGCTTTTAAGCACACAGGCACGAGGTGGGGAGAAACGACTCCACTGCTTCAGGACATCAGGACAGAACTGCTTCCCACACTGCCTGAACTCCAAGCCCTGCTCGCAGTACCTGGCTGCCAAGGTATGCTGTAAATGCAATAGGAAGAAGCTACAGCAATTCATCAAGGTCTAAAGAAAATAGGAAAGACCTATCACTTTTCTTCTTTGAAAGCACAGAGTACTTTTACAAACAGTGATGAGATTAATAGACAACGAGCTTCTTGCCAACAAAACTTTCAGATTCTTTGAAGGTCCCTTATTTGTCTTGACTGGTTCAGATTCTTGGGACAGAAACACAGTGTTCTGTAGAGACCTATGAAGTAAAACCTACCTGGAGCTACAAACCCTGCTCACGTGCCATGAAATAACCCCTACACCTGGCAGCTGGGATATGAACCAGATGTGTAGCGCATCCGGGCAGGAGCAGGGCTGCTGCCATCAGCACTGAGCTGGCTGAGGGATGGACTTTTCCAGCCCAGCGATTGTTCAGAGAGATTTCATCAAACGTATCTCTTTTGCCTTCACTTTTCTTAAGGCAGAGGTTGACCACAAACGTCCCCAAACCTACTGTTTGTCGGCTTTCAACACTTGAGTGTCTGCATGCCCTTCCCTCCCCAGTCAGAAGTGCATATTTTGCTGCTCCAGTTGCATAATTCCCTGATTCAGCTGCATGCTTGGTTGGCCTGGCAGGAGCCTGGGACAGTCGTTGAGATTCTGGATACATTGCCAATTGTGCAGTGTGCTTTGTTGATGGGGGCTGTAGAATCTAATAGCTGAAATTTCATACACTTTACTAATCAGGCCACATTCTTTGCTAATTGAGGTGCATATTTTAGTAGTTGATTTTTTTTTGTTTAATCCTTCACTGATCTTGGGAAGGATCCTGCTCCCTCTGAAGCGAACGGGAATTTTGCCACGGTCCTCCCTGGGACTGAGACTTTCACCAGAAGGTTGGGATCACTGCAGATTTCTTCTCTTGAAAGAAATAACAGAGACTTGATGTTTTTTTAAGCCATCAAGTGAGCGGCCGAATGCTAGGTGAAAGATGCCACTGACACAGAGACCTCTTCCACAAGGATTTGATTAAACACATAATATTTTATGGGTATACAGAGACCTGGAATTTTGACTATGTGTTTCTTTCATCAGGCTTCCATTCTTCCTTCCTGGATCTTCCTCCTGGATACACAAGCCACCTGTCCGCACATTTTGTTCCATCTGATACAGACATACAGGAGGAAACACCATTCACCTTATCTTCAAATTATCTCTCATTTGCTCTCACTCTGATTCTTATGTTGCTGCAGTCCTTAGTTTGGGGGTTCCAAAGCAGGCTGTTTTGCTACAAAACCTATTTCAGCATCCACACAACCCTACAACATCCCCACAGCCTCAGCTCTGACTGGCACAGACCACCTCCCTGGATGCCCAGCTCAGCCCGCCATCCCTCACACACACAGTGCCCGTTCCAAGGAGTCTGCTGTGGTTTTCATACTGCTAATTCCACGCAGGCAGATAATTCATTTCTCATTTTTGCTAAATCGAACCAGATTTGAACTAACCATTTAGAGGATTTTTTCCTAGCATAGCAACACTATCAGAAGGCAGCCAAAACAGATAAAAATAATGAAGCCTACACAGACCTTGACGAGCGAGGAACAAGTACAACTTAATCAAAAGAATAACAAAACCAGGGAGCAAGAGATGTGTGCGTGTGTCTACATGCATGAATTTCACTGTCACATTTAGGCAGATAAGCTATAGAAAATGCCTAGGTTTTATTCTGCAAAAGAAATTGTCCTGCATGTTTAAAGACTACAGGCAGTGTGCAATCATATGAATAGCTGACATAAGAATAAGTCATGCCTGGGAAAGTAAGGGGGAGGCTGCTGCTGCTTCCTTAGGGAGGCACTTCTGGTATGGTACCTGTGGTCAGTGCTTAAGTGGGAAGGTAAATGGTCATGGCTTCAGAACCAGAGATCAACGGGAGCTGGCTGGGAAAGACAGGAAAAAGACAGATGGAACAAAGTGATGCAGGGTTTGCTGATGCACACAGTGTCACGCCGTTGAACTCACACCCAAAGACACACGACAGCAAATATTTGTTCCGTCTCATGACTGTCCAGGCAAAATTAGAACGAAGCACAGGAAGGATGTAACAACTTCGGGCAGGGAGCAGTCATGCAGTGTAAGGGTGCAGCTGGGTGCGGGAGTTGTTCACTCTCAGAAACAAGCCCGAGGGAAGGGTAAGTTTCCAGGTTACATGTTGCAGTTCTGAGTTAAAAGAGAGACTAAAGACAAAAACCCACAGCCGTACAATTCCATAGATTAAAGCGTGCACCTTTGTGAAGTTGGTACTCAGTACTTCAGAATCAAGATCATGGCTTAAGTAAGAAGTTCTCGGTAGCTATCTTCACGTGAGTGAGATAAAACATTTCAGCCACGAAGTCACTGCTGTGCTGGTATGTGCTGCGGCAGGCTGAATCATACCATGCTGCTTTCCCCCCTTAAGCAATCCCCCGCATTTCTTTGATATATTTATACATAACTAAAGAAATACTTTCACAGAATATTATTCTCTTATAGCATCATGGCTCATATTTCATAGATCTGAGAACCTTCACCAGAAGCGTGAAATTTTGCTCCAAGAGCCCACAGGATCCCCACGAGGGCAGCGGGTCGGGGCTCTCGCCCTTCTCGCAGCACCCAGCTTCCTTCGCCCCGCAGCCGCCCGGCGCTCCCGGCACCGCTCTGCCCCGCCGCGCTGCTTCCCACCGCCGCCCCCGGCCGCTGCCAGCGCCCGTCCTACGGAGCGCCCGTCCCTGCCGCTACTCACCTGCTCTCGGTACCACAGATGTGCACGAGGCAGGAGAGCAAAGGGAGGGTAACGCGACGGGAGGTGCTTGGGTTGGGTTCCCTGCTCCAAGCTACCCCTCGTTCTGGCCGCCTTTGGGCAACTGCTCCGATTTCTGCCTGGAACGCTGATATATCGATATCCACGGGGCTCCCCCCGCATCCCGCGTCCGCCCGTACCGAATCGGAACGACCCGAGACAGGCTCCCGCAGCCGGCCTTACGGAGCCGGCCGCAGACCCCACCCCGGGCGGGGGCCGAGCGCAGCCCCTCCGCATCCCCGCGTCCCGGCGGATCGCGCCGAGCCCCGCTCCCGGCGCAGCCTCCCGCCCGTCGGGTGTGCCGGCCCCGACCGCCGTCCGCGCCGTGCCGCGCCGTGCCCCGCGTGCCGCCGGGGGCGGGCAGGGGCCGCTCGGGGTTACCTTGCTGCCTCCCGCCCCGCCGAGGCAGAGCGCCGCGGTCGCCGCCAGGATGAGCTCCGCGCCGGTGAAGCTCCGGCCCATGGCGCGGGGCGCTGAGCCGAGCGGAGCCGAGCCGCGCCGTGCCGAGCCGCGCCGAGCCGCGCCGCTCCGTGCCGTGCCGAGCTTTGCGCTGTCGAGCCGCGCTGTGCCGAGCGGGGCTTTGCGGAGCCGTGCCCTGAACGGGCGCCGCTGCCAGGGACCCCCCGAGCCCGGCCTCCCCGCCCCTCGCCCCCTCCCCTGGCTGCTCCCGGCCCCTGCCCTCCCCCGGGGGGCACCTGCGGCGCGGGGCGGGGGGACCTGGGCTGGAGGGGAGCGGGGCTCGCGGGGTTTTGTCTTTTCCGCACTTGGAAAGCGCCGGACTGCAGGCGGCGCGGCCTCGCGGGTAGCGGCTGGAGCGGCTCCGGGGGAAAGTTCCTCCTGCGGGGAGATGGGGGCGATGGGGGCCGCGTGCTGGCGGCGGGCAGGGCCGTGCCCCGGAGCTCGGGTAGGGTCAGAGGAAGGGGAAAGGGGAAAAGTGCCCGAGCCTTTCCCGGGGGGAAAAATTGCCCCGGGTTCGCGTGAGCAAGGAGCGGAGGGAAGGAGTGTCGCCGTGCATCCCAGGGAGCCCAAAGAGAGGGAGCTGCGCAAAAAACACTAATCTGCGTCCCTCAGCCGCGTAACCTGTGGAGGTGATGGGAGGGCAGGGACACTCCTTATTCCGTGGCATTTGGTGGGTTGCCAGCTGAAAAGCTCTCTCATCCCCGTCCTGCAATGGCACCTGGCAGCCCCACAGCCCCAGCGCTGAGGACTCGCAGGTGGCAGCGAACGCCGATTGCTAGCTGCAGTTAGTTCTCATATTCTGCAGAAGTTGTTGCAATAATTTAGCATAGAAGTAGAATTTGAAGTCAAAAAATTGTGGTTTTACAAATGACAGTTGCTTTATGCTTGGATCTTTATGGAGCTCAGCTGCATGCACACCCATGAAGCAGCACACAGACTCAAGCCAGCAGCAGGTGGGTGCAGGTTTGGCACACCTTGCCCAGAAACCTCCTGTGCTGGCCCCGGTTGGCCTAGGGGCACTGGCATGGCACGTCCCAAAGTCCTCCTTCCCAAAAGCAGGCATTCAGGCATTCACCTGGCTTTTGAGGGACAGTAATTAAAAATCCCCACATAACACCTTCAGTTGGCTGATGAGCCCAAGGCTTGGAGGGGATCGGGGATGGGATGCTGGTGCTGTGTTGCTGTGTGTGCTCACCCCCTTCCGCACCAGCCCCTCCCCAGGGAGACTTGTGTTTGCTCTAAGCATGGCGCACAAGCAATATCTTGGTAGCTTAATAGGATTGTTTTTCCTCCTTGCACTGAGGGCAGAAGAAGATGCAAATAATTCTTTGTGTGGTCAATTCTTATTTTACTCTTTCCTTCCCAGGGCAAATGTTGTGTATGTGGTGTTCCCAGGCTATGACCCTGTCAGTTATTTGCCGTGATTGCTCGTGTTCAAATTTGCATTTTGCTCCTCCTGTGTAATATTTCTTTGAGTTCCCTGTCAACCGAAACGGCATATACAAGTGCATGATGTCTGTTCTGAACAGCAGAGAGCAAAGGGATTTTTCCCGGCAGAATGCTTCTGCCTGAAGGGCAGTCTGGGCTCTGTGGCACAGCGCTGTGCTGCGCTGCTGTTCTTAACACCGGCAGTTAAACCTCAGGGCAATGTCACCATAAATGCATGTTAAGCTTTGAAAAATCCCCGAAACGAGAAATCTTTTCCCACATGAGGCTCAGTGTGACAGAAGTAAATATAGAGATTCCTTCTGCTCTTTCCTTATGTTATTGCAGTCTTTGAGGGCATAAGGGCTAGCTGGCAGGAAAGGGTATTCAAAAAGTGGGTTTTATTGTCACTTGGGCAGGCCTAGAACAACAGTATAGGAAATACCTAAATGAAAGAAAGAGAATGTGCTCAAGTCTGGCACTGCAGCGCCCTTTTTAAGGACCTTACATCCCTGTTATTTGGATTCTTTTCCAGGGGTCATCTGAGTGCAGGCACCCGTAATCCTGAGGCAAGCAGGCAGTGCCCTGGGCTGTGCTGCTGCTCCAAGCTGCAGACCTTGAAGTGCAGCACAGACACAAATGTACGTGGGTTTCTTGTGTTTGTTTACTCAGTTCTTGGCCCAGCCATTTCTGTCTGTATGTCTGTGCAGATCTCAGCATCCTTCTGCCAGCAGGACCTGCCTGCACAACACTGCATCACTCTGGCTTAGCAATAACTTAGCATGCAGAATGAAGGACCAAACTGAGAGCAGTCTGCCCACAAGGATTTCCAGCTCAGAGCAGTGACCCCCCTTCCCCCAGGCTATGGCTTTTACGGAAATTCTGCTCTGTATTTGTGAGCTCTTTCTGTCGGGAAGCTGTGGGGGGACACTGCATGGCATGGACAACTTCCTGCTTGAGGGAGCACGTGAGACAAGGACCAAAAGATGTCTGGTTGCCTGCTGAAGGTGTCAGGCACGAGGCCAGGCACACGGCAGAGCACTGAGCCCAGCAGAAGCACTCCCACCACCCTCCCAGGGAACATCTGGCTGCTGAGCCAGCTTCCACAGCCAGTGTCTGGAGGACAGCTGTGCCAGGCAGCTGGGATAGAGCAGAGAGATTTACTGGAGGGATCGAGTCAGGGCAGAATGGTGACTGGGACTTTGCTTTCTGCCCACTCTTTATTCCCCATCCAATGTTTTCCTACAGCCTCACCTTGCACATAGCTGCTGCAAAGCCCAGCTGCTCATCTCCACCATGCATTGTAGGGTGCATGTCTCCGAGCAAGCAAGATGGAGCTTCTTCCACATCTGTTGAGATATCCTACAGGGAACAAGTGTCCTGCTTTTTGTGCTGAGCATCCCGTGAAAGAATTCCAGGCTTCCACACTCCTTTAGTGAGTCCTTCCAAGGACTGGCCCACGTTGCCTGCTGCACAGTGCTGTCCGGGGGCTCTTGGAGTCCCTGAGGGAAGCACTACAGTGCAGTAGAACAGGAGCACTTATGAGTTAGTGGGTGCAATTTCAACATTTTCTTAACCAGGAACCCCAGGCTGGGAAAGTAACTTCCAGGAAAGAAAAACAAAAACTTCTTTCTTTCAGGCTGACAGAAAAATCATTTATTGTGTAAAACCTAAGCTTAAAACCACTAAAAAACAGTCATTTCCTTCCCCTCCCTCCACACGCACAACACATGAATTGATACATGGAAAAAGAACTTTCTGAATTAGTTTCCTTAAATACATAAGGCGTCCTGACAGCAGAACTAACCCTTGTGACCCAGGGACACAACACTGTAATATGCCTTGGAAATTAATGAGCTCTTAGAAGTTTGTTTTTCAGAACAGCTGCTTTGACCAAAGGGAATGCAGCTTTAAACAGGAGGAGGGCATTGGCAAGAGATTTTCAATAACAAGGCCTTAAATCTTAGTTTATTCTGATTGCAAGAGTCCCCATCTGCAAACCTTTCGGTTACACAACACTGCTTTTTATATTTTCACAGTATTCTTTCATGTAGGATAGAGGTTGGTTAAATTCTGAGTGAAGCTGTTACATCAGACATGCCACAGTTCCATCAGAGTCTCTCTGCTGTTCATAGGAATGGGTCAGGAAAGCAACACTTCAAATCCTTATCGCCATTAAAATAGACACGCTAAAATTGTTTAGGCAGCGGCGTGTAAACGTTACACGCACATAAATAACAGATCAGTAAATAAAATATAAAAATAAAATATTAAGGCAGCCTTTCCTAAAGCCCGTTGATGAAGAGCTGGCAGCAGCCACATGTTCTGTGTTTAACACAAAGCCATTTTTTGCTGGGAGGGAAAAGCTGGATGCCGGAGTCTGACTGCAGCCAGCCAGTAATAGAGCTTTTTCTGCATGGTTAGCATAGGTTTCTTTTTTAATGAAGTTTTTGCAGACTGAGTGACACCAAATAATAGAAGGATGTAAGCAGAAAAGCATGTAGTAAGCAGAGGGAATTGGAACGTGGTGTTGTCAGTGGTTAGGGAGTGAGATCTCTGCTAAGGAAATATTTAGAAAAACATGCTTGTAGCTTTAATAGCTGTAACTGGAAAGCACCACAGCGGCTTTGTGCTGTGCAGAGAGTGCCACCCTCTGCTCCTGCTGAGCACAGAGCCCTTCTCTCCCCCCTCTATCCCTCTTTTGCTACTTCTGAGACATTTGCTCAGAATTTGTACTTGTAGAAGCAGCAGCCTTTCCTTGGAATGCTTTCATTCTTCATGACGCCAGGAATAGGCTGAATTCTGCAGCTCTGTGCAGACAGACTCACTGCATTTAACAGACCTGCTGGTCTTTGCTCCACCAGTCCCTTAAGAAGGGGAATAATGAGAGGGCAGGTGTTTTCAGCTGAGTTTATTGCAGTGGGTTACCCAAACACCCTGATGGACAGGTAACTCTGCATGTGGTCTGTCTTACTCTAAAAGCTGTCAGAGCCAAAATAAATAAAACAGCCTTCCCCTTTTAGGGGCAAAGCCTTGTGGGTTCCTGAAAAAGACAATTCCTATTAAGGTCTGAGGGAGCTCACTTGCAGAGAAGTGGCAGGACTGTTTGGCTGCCGAGTGGAGGAGAGCTGTGCCGGCTGCAGTGGAAGGGCAGTGTGTGCATTCTGTATCTGAAGGGGAGAGGAGTGCTTGGAAAAAGGGATTTCAGTAAACTCTGGGAGATGCCATTGGCTCTTTCTCTGCCGACAGAGGCTGCAGGGCACACAAATACATCTCCTGCACAGCTGCAGGAACCTTTGTGCTCCAGGGTCTCATGAGTGCCTGATGATTCTCCTGGCACTTTAAGCAACTACCACGACACCTCCCTGTCCTGCCGAAGCCTACGCTACTGACGATAGATATCTTTCAGTCTGAGGGCTCCTCCATCTTCTTTGGGCAGTCTGCTGCAGCTCTGTGCCTCTTTTAGAGGCAGACCCTGAAGCAGTGGTTATCCCTGGCACTGGGGGCTTGGTGCCATGTGGCAGGCTAACAAGTAAAATCAGAGATTTGTCCAGGCAATAAATTGTCCCAGAGACCTGACATCAAAGCCAAGAAGCAAATATAGACACATATCCAGACTGAAGAACTACATTAGTGACTCATCCATTCTTAATTTAAGCTCTCTGTGGGAGGCAAAGGTCTTGCTTTACATCCTTAGGATGGGCAAAAAAGTGTATGAGGGTGAAACACTGAAGTCTTCCTCACCATGCTGTCCTTGGCATTTCTGTAGAGGAGTACTCACGGAAGGAGAGGGCAGAATAGCTGCTGTTCTCTGAATCCTAATGTACATTTTCTAGGTATTTGTGTAAGTCCCTTACTGTGACCTTGTTTGTGAATTTGTGAGCAGCAAAAGATGTCTCACTCCGAAAATTCTCTAAGAAGACCGTGCCGAGATGCACACTGCACAGCCTTTCCTGATCACACTCCTCCTGTCCCTATCTTTGGCCAGCTGCCTTGCCAGCATCACTTGGCCATGCTTTCCTGCATTTCTACTTGCAATAGTCCTCTTCCTCAATTTGCTTGTAACGCTCTCTTCCAAGCCTTCCCTTAGGGGCTACCACTGCATGAGACGTACAGGAAAGCGCCCTGCTAGTGCCCTCAGCACTGTGGCAGGAGCCTGGTTAGCATCTTTGTGAGTTCTTTAAACAATTTATAGACTCCCTGATGGTTTGGGCTTTGCTATCTTCCTGACTTTTACTTATCGAACGGCCTTCTTTTAACATCACAGTAGGAAACAGCTGGAAATCAGCCACCTCTTCCCTCCGGATCCATGAAACAAGCAGGCTCTTAGGGTGACCGAAGGTTGCGCACACATACCCGCCTGCCACCGACGAGGCACAGCGCGGTGTATGCGGAGACGTGCTTTCACGAAATTCAGTGCGCGTGAACAAATCCAGAGCAGAACAGTTGCGGAAAGCAATCAAACGGGAGAAACGAAACCAAAACCGCCCGGCAGAGCAGCGCGGTGCCGCCCGCCGTGCCGCCCCTCCCGCAGCGCACGGCCGTCAGCTCGCGCAGGTCAGCCGCGCGCGGCCCCGCCCGGCCCGGCAGGAACGCGCCCCGCAGGGCGGCCCGGCCGAGGAGGCCGCTCCCCTTCCCCGCTCTGCCGGAAGGGTCCGTCTGGAAAAGCCGCCGCCTCTCCACAGGCCCCGGCGGCGGAGGCCGCCCTGCCGG